AATGGGATCGCCTGTGTTTGCTCACTGGCGATCTATGTTCAAACTGAAGTGTCGACAGCGATATCTTATAGCTATAAAACAAATTTACCTCCCCTGTCTAATATTATCTTGTGTCATGATATCTTTCTAACGAATCGTTTCGCATTAACTTCTATGGCCCAGACCAAATATAGGGTGACCCAAAAAAACGGGAACTTTTTAATAATCCAATAAAACCAAGAGTGGTGGAAGAAAAATATTTTATTCATAGTAATTGAAACTTTAAAACATGCCATTTAAGAAACAATGATGGAATTTTCATTTCTTTTAAAATTACATCCTGTAGATGGCGTCCTCCTGTATGAATGCATTCTTGAAATCTGCTGTTGAGATTCCTCATTGACTGCTGCAACATCTCAGCTGGGATACTGTGAATTTTATCTTGAATTCTAAATGGCGAAATGTTTACTTGCTCAAGGTCACTGTCTCGCAGTGTTGCCACTAGCTCATGTCTGGCAATACGCACTTCAAAAATTCCCGTTTTTTTGGGGGTCACCCTGTATATACAAAAGCAGAACAACAGCAGATTTTACGTAACCGCTCCCTGCCAGTATCTTATTGTGTGGTGTCTTCTTTGTCCGAACACCGGTTTTGGGCTGTAATGCACGATGCTAAGCAAAACGAGGTAAAAAGTCAATCTTAATTTTATTTTGCTGCACCTACGTGCGATCGCTTTAGAATTTTAGAACGGTCTATTTTATTTTCACCCGTCTCCGTTAAATAGATGTATATCTATATATTACGCGAGTTGGTAAGAATGCCCCTTATACATTTGCCCATTTTAAGCCAGTCAATGTTTTCCAGTTAATATCCCTCCAGTACGAACGCAGTTACATTCTGAAATCGGTCAATTGTCCAATCGCCGATGGCCACATACATTTATTACCTTTTTTATTACATTTGTATCGGTGTGGCCCTGGCTGTATTTCTCTTGTACCAACGATAAAACAAAATCATGAAAAGGGAATAGCTTTATAATAACCTGCAGGCACCGAACAAACATTTTATTGCATAAACTTGCTGAATTGATCGAAGAATTCTGGTATTTTCTTTTTATTTAGAAATGATAAATAAAACAAAAAACAAAAAGAAAGAAAATCAGACACAATGAACTCATATATTGTTAAAATCAATTGTTCGTTTCAGTTGAGCTGCATTACGTCGTAAGTTCGAGATCTTTAAAATCTGTATCTTTTACAGGGTAAGTAATGGAAGACATCTTCTACTGTCAGGTCGGGTTTTCAGCACTTTTGCTAACTTTTCCTGCCAACAATACATGCTATGGTCGCCATTATTCGTTTAAATAACACTTTGTCTGTTACTGCATGGCACATAATAAGAATGGATCATACGTAACATTTTTTTGCAGTTATCTATACCAATATGACGGTAACTTGGATAAGACAGTGAATTTATTTTTTTTAAATCAATGTTGCTCATAGCTAGATTTGATAATACTAGTGCTATAAGCTGACACTTAATAATTTTTGTCGCAAATGAAAATCTTATCTACTCAGTGGAAAATATTGTATGGAGCATATCTAAGTCTGATGTTTTAAAAATTAAAGAAAAAGGTTTTCTCTATTTAGGGCGCAGGTTTAAATCCTGCCGGAATTCTTTTGAATACATAACCCGGTAGACCTAAAATTTGCACAAACACAGACAAATATATGTTGTTACATCAGGCAAGAAATGGCTTGTTAATTTTAACGCTCCAAAGCAAAACTATTTACATCAGCATGGTTGATACTACCCTTCAAAAGAGTGGTTCGTTGCGCCTTTTCGGTTTACCGTTTGCTGCTGACATGAAGTAGAAGGATTTTATAGAGTCAATTGCTGATAGGAAAATTGGTTCACGGTGTCGTTCTAGAAAATTTGTTTTCGCTAGAATCTATCTTATACCGTGCATTTAATATTGGTGTTACATCTGGTTTGCTGTTTTCGCTATGTATTTAGAGATTCTTGATAAAAGAATCTGCAATGTTAATGGTTCCTGACTTGATGCCTCGCTTTCGATTATTTTTTCACCGCCGTAACGTAGCTTTCTCCTAACTTTTCTATAAATAATTTCATGGAATTGTTCTGATGAAGTATCGTCTTTGGTATCCAGACTTTAAGAATTTAACCGCGGTAATATATTGTAGACAATGCCGTATCATATTACAGTTGACATGGCTAGATATAATTGTAACCGTAAGTTCTATGTTAACTGTTTCTTCCATCTAGTGCAACTCTCCTCTGCCATAATGCTTTTCCGTCAACTTTGATCTTCAAGAGATTCAGTGCAATATCAATCGTAATATTGTGTCTTAATTCTTTTCCTTTTATAAATTTATTTCCTTAATAATGTTTCTTGGTTTTAATATTCGTTCAGTAACAGCGGGAGTCTTAGGAGCTTTATTCCCTTGCTTCCGATGAAATGATTAAAAAAAGAGTAAATATTAAATAAAAGCTCCTTAATCCCGAGAAAATAATTTTCAGTAAAAAATAAAATAAAATAAACTTTTGAAAGAAAAGTGGTTGGTTCTCTTTCTAAGCAGTCAGATTAGATTTTTCTAGAAAGATTTTTACTTCACTACCATTTGTATCAACGTTACTCTCCTTAACAAATTTACCCGACTTGACGTACAGATCTATTTATCTAATATAATGGAATATGCGTACATCTGTGTTCCCCCTCGGTGGAATATGATTGGCTGGTGTCCGTCATAAATATCGACGGACGTGTAGGAGAATCAAAGAGGCTTAGTTTGAGAGCTAAGTCTATAACGACGCACGTTGGACTATGTCATTGATCTACGCTTCTTACCTGCGACTACTACGCGTACTAGTCAATTACTGCTACCGTATTCTACTTGGTTATAGTAGCCAAAACCACTTAGCTACCCCGTTCAAATATATCCCTTCCCGGGACATATCACTATCAAACTAATCATGGCTAAATTGTAGGCATGCGGTAATAATAAAAACGTCTGCCCTATATGGGTTGGATTTGCTCATTCCTAACCTACCTGTCTTTAAAAGCGTCTACCCGGTCTTATGGGCGATGAAATATTTTCAGACCTACAACACGCAGTTACAGGTTTCTCGCTAACCTATCGCAATTTCCATGACAAGTGTTCTCACGGGCTATATTCCTTGTTTCCATCTGCCCTGAATTTTGCAGCTGAGACACACCATGCCAAGTACACAGGGATGAATCATCCTCATTTCCTTCATATTCCATTATTACGGAGTAATTTTTCCTCAGACAACCTCTTCCCAAAGACAGCTGCGTTGAGGTACAGCCGCCCGGCAAGATGTTTTCCCGATCACTATAATCTTGACCGTTTCGCGTCTTGGATTAACCGTTATCTTTCACGCATAACTTTATTAACTGCACACCTTGCCTTTTCTTACAGTCTTTTCCGTCCTGGGTATGACAATAAACTACATCCGGCAGCAAGGACTCTGATCAGGAGTTTAGAGGTTTTTAATGAGCTTGGAGCCAAAAGTGTGTAAACAGCTCTTTCTTGAGTGGATTGTAACACATCATTTATAATCTCTCATTTGCGTCTCTGTCTTTGGGCAGAGTGCGCTCAGGGACGGCTCCATCAAAGGACAGAGTCGCAACTGAGGAAAATTATACTGACAGGTGACCAGCCATGGGAAACAGCTGCCTGTGGCTGCGCCCTCTCATCGTACCAGAGAGAGGGATCGGTGCTCGCCTCGAGGCCATCGGAACCGACGGTTGTGGGAGCTGCGCGTAATTTTTGTTCCTAGCCCGGGTGTACGCGCTCGGGTCCCCGCCTTAAAAACTGACCTTATGTCACAACTCGTCTTAGTGGGGAGACAGAGTAAATACCTAATTATTGGTATTATTTATTTTTGTTTCCAGGTCCAAACTTGTTACAGTTTTTTGTGTATATATATATATATATATATGACTAGTGAGTCAGTGAAGATGATTTAATTCCCTTTATAGTCTACCAATAGAAGATTAACCAATCAGAAGCCGTAGAACATTGTATCCGTCGTGTATAAAGGAGGCCATTTTTGTTTACCCTACCCGAATGACCAGTGCCAACGTGTCAGTCGAAGATGACAGAAGGAAATACTACGCTCTGCTACTTTGCTGCGATATCCACTGATAACCTGAACTACGCTTTCCTACTGTCTCCGAAATATTCACTGCTAACCTCTGGGTTCTATACTCGAAGACGACCGTCATGAATTTGTAACAAAACTGACCCGTGATGGTAGCACCTGTTAGGGTTCCAGCTATGGAGAAATAGTTGACCATCAAACAAAAATCAACAGTACATTTTCATAGTAAAATGACCAACAATACATTTTCATAGCAAAATAACAATCAATGCAACAGTAAACAAACATAACAATATATTTATATAATAAAATTACCAACAATATATTTTATAATTTACAATCTATACATCTAAAAACCCTGAAAGTACAAAAATTACGTAGAAAATATCTTTAGATGAAAGCCTGAAAAATTACGAGCAAAATATTTAGATTCAGGCATTAAATAACCCATAGTGGTTGATATGCAGCTAAACCAAATCAACCAAGTAACAATACCTATTTCTCGTAAAATTACCAGCAATGCATATTTAAAGCAAACTGACTAACAATATGTTTTATCTGTAGATGAAGGCATACAAGTGCGCTTTAAATATATTTAGTTGAAGCCATAAACTTGTGTTCAAAATATTTAGATTTCGACATTAAATAACCCACAGAGATGTTGATATGCCGCTAAACAAAATCAATCCACACGAAAGAATTCTTTCATGACATTAATCGATATAATATCCTAAATTTCTGAATGAAAAAAAAATAGTATTCTAAAATATGACTTGAACAAAACTATAACAGAAAACACAGATATCACTGTCTCTAGTAAGTAGGCTCACATAAACGTGTAGGCTTACGGCCGCATCACTTTTTTTAAACAGATTTCCCGTACGATCACCGAAGTTAAGCAACACCAAGCCTGATCAGTACCTAGATGGGTGACTGCTTGTGAATACTATTTGCTGTAAGCTTCGATGTGTGGGTTGTGCAACGGATAATGACGAGAACTTTTTAATCGGAGAGACAAGTTCGAATTCCAGTCGAGTTCTTTAATATGTATTTAGGTACCAATACTCTTGGGAAATCAATAAATTCACCTCTTCTCCATCCAGCTATGGGATAATTAGTAAGACTTGTATAACTAAACAATTATTATCGCCAGAAATATAATAAAACTGTGTACACAAAATATTTAGATTACGACATTAAATAATCCATAGGGGTTGATATACAGCTGAACAAAATCAACTATTCAAGCAAGAATTCCGTCCTGGGTATGACAATAAACTACATCCACGTCCTGGGTAAGACGATAAACTACGCCCAGCAGCAAGGCCCCTGATCTGGAGGTTTTGAGGAGCATGGAACTACCTTTCAATTGCTGGTGTTCACAAGTCCATTTTGACCCGGGGTGATGCACCTGTTACGGTCCCAGCTATGGGCAAATAGTTAACACCCAAACTTGTGTAAAAATAGGTTTTAATACCAGAAATTCTTTATAATAAAAAAATTATTACCAGCAATAATTTAAAAGAAAATACCAGCAATGCAAACAGTTATATATTCTTTGAAAAAAATAGGACCAGCTATAGATTTCTTCAAGGAAAAATATTCCCAGGAATAGATTTTTGAAGAAAAACATTACCAGCAAAATTATTATCAGCAATAATTTAAAAGAAAATACCAGCAATGCAAACAGTTATATATTCTTTGAAAAAAATAGGACCAGCTATAGATTTCTTCAAGGAAAAATATTCCCAGGAATAGATTTTTGAAGAAAAAACATTACCAGCAAAATTATTATCAGCAATACTTTAAAAAATACTAGCAATACAAACAGCTATACTTTCTTCGAAAAAAAAAATATGACCAGCTATATATTTCTTCAAGGAAAAATGTTCCCAGAAATAGATTTTTGAAGAAAAACGTGACCAGCAATAGAAATTTTGTTGGCATTAAATAACCCATTTAGGTTGATATGCCGTGAAACAAAACAAACCAAACTAGACCAAATCAAGCAAGGATTACCGCCACATTACATTGAAACATCGGTTCTCGTACGATCACCGAAGTTAGATTGGTGACCACTGGGGATTCATGGTGCTGCAAGTTTGGATGTGTCGGGAGTGTAATGGATAATCGATCAGAATTATTAATCAGAAAACCGATTTCCAGTTCCCGCTGGGTTTTATATATACATTTATGCGCAAATAACATTGAGAAAGGTACGATCCCCGCCTCCAGATATGAGTTAATTTAATAAGACTTGCATCACTAAATTATTATTATCTAAAAAAAAAAAAAAATCTTAAAATGTAAAAATATTTTCTGGCTTTAAATAACCTGAGAAGGGTTGATAAACCGTAAAAAACGAATCAATCATTCTACTGAATAAGCAGAAGAAGTTAAAAGAAGAAATTAGTAAGACGTGTAAACCATTATTATCGCCGAAATATATTCTTGTAATATAAAAAAATAATTTCTGGCTTTAAATAACCTGCAAAGGGTTGATAAAACGTAAAAAACGAATCAATCAATCTAATTATTAAGCAGAAATTAAAAGAAGAAGTAAGACTTGTAAACCATTATTATCGCCAAAATATATCCTTACAATCAAAAAATATTTTCTGTCTTTAAATAAACTGCAATGGGTTGATAAACCGTAAAAAAACTAATCACTCAATCTACTGATTGACCAGAATTAATTAAAATAAATTACTAAGACTTGTAAACTATTATTATCGAGAAAATATATTCTTATAATCTAAAAAATGTTTTCTGGCTTTAAATAACCTTCAAAGGGTTGATAAGCCCTAGAAAAGCAATCAATAAATCCAACGCTCATAATCTACTTTGGGTGGCTCTTGGATCTTGTATTGGGTGAACATTTGTAAAAAAACATATAACAATAAAAACAAAATTAATAGAAAACTGAATGATATCGGCTGGTATATCGGACCACTTATATTTAAAACTGGAAAACTAAGCGTCCTTTTATATTCAATGTTTCCTGATGTAGAACTATAACAAGAATTTTTATATTTCTTCCCTCAGCCACCATTTTATAGGTATATGAATATAAATAAGAGAGTAAAGACAGTTTTGAAATTATGCGGTAAAAAAAACAAAAAACAGGGAGATAATGCGCAGGGTATGACGACATCAGACGTAGAAAGATTCAACTCAGCGATTGCCACGTCAAGACAGAATGCATGAGTAGAGGTATTTCTGTATAAATACCAGCTTGATTCATCAGTTAGTTTGCAGGGTTTGTATTGAGTTACAACCTGCTTTATTTTTGTCTGCCAGCTGGACGCTAGCTGGGACCCTTACCCCGGTAAGTGTTGTTTATTGCATTGTTGTTCTACAATCAGTAAAAAGAAGATGAGACCAAAATGCGATTTACAGGGCACTAAAGTCAAGCAGGTGCGGAAATTTATATATCTGCTTAATCTTCTGACAGAGGGCGCTAAGTGCAATGCGGAAGGATGTTAAGGATATAATGGACCGAAAATGTGAGCAACTATGAGGCTTTGGAAAGGATGCAAACAAAGAGGAAACCTATAATTAACATTAGGTAAAAGCAGCTGAAATTTCTGGGGCACGTATTGAGAAAGGAGGGTTTGGAAAATCTGATACACATACGGCAGAAAGAGGGAAAGAGGAACAAGAGAAAGCAACGTGTTGTGTATTTAGCGGCCTTAAGCAAGTGGATGGCAGAACAGGGTCTGGGAGAAATAACAAAAAGACAACATTTATTGAGAGCTACACGGAACAGGATGAAATGGAGAGCCACGATTGCCTACGTCCTAAAGGGACACGGTACATAAAAGAAGATTAAGTGTGCTTTCTGTAAGCCGAGAGTCAAATACGGATAAATACATCGGCTTAGTATTCAGCACGCATCATGAATTAACGAATAGTTTAGGAATGACGCCATGATCATGAATTCCGTTTTTGGTTCTTTCCACAGTGTTTTATTTTTTTCTTTTCCAAAAATAAAAAACAAAATCTAATGATGAAAGCATATTTTATTTTTATCTTCCATTTCCCCTTTTAACGTGAAAAAAAAAAAACCATTCACCATCTACTCACGATTGGTATAGATAGACGCATTGATAATGCCACCTTTCCGAATATATATATTTCAAAAAAAATTTTTAGGTGGGGAGATAAATAATATGTTCAAACGCCAACGTTTGAAAAACGCTAATAACCTCCATCCTAACCACAACCATAATGGACAGTGAGGGTAACACCTAACGACGACAGTATGTTGTACGCTTTTGCACAATCTTTAGACTATACATGTTTGTTTTGGCTCAGCTATTTACAGCGAGGCAATTCTAGAGAATTGGAAACCCTGTCGGCCACAATCTTAACATAAGTTACGCAGATGACACAGTACGGATTGCAAACACGGTAAAGAAATTACAAACTCTCCTACAGAAAGTAGCGACGGGGTGTGAGAAGAAAGGACTAAGCGTAAACCACATAAAACAGAATACGTGATCATCAGTAAAAAGATGAGCCCGAGATGCGATCTGCAGGTCGGTCGGTGTTGTAGAGTAGTTTTCACAGTGGAGTCTTGTATTCACTAAGTCGGGCCTAAAAGGGTCCGACGTACAAAACGTTAGGAACTTGAAAGTAATAGTTAATGACGCAGCAATCTAGTTGGTGTGGTTGATACTTTAATGTCCGACATCGACTGACTCACTCAACTGCACTGATCCCAACTGGCGACAGCTACTACTACTTATTATGTGTGGGAGAGTCTATTACAATAGAATAGGTAATGTTCTAGTATAACAGTCGGGAACACTATATGCATGCAAACGCGAAAGTTTAAATATCTAGGAAGCATTTTGAAAGAGGACAGCAAATGCAACACTGAGATCCATAGAGGTATTAGGGTGTCCAAGGATGCATTCCAAAAGCTGGGCAGAGTATTGCAAAACAGGAGAATTTCTTTGGTAACGAAGGAAAGAATACTGAGCTGTTATGTGACATATCTCCTTCTCTACAGCAGGGCATGATGGACGATTTCCTCAAACATGAGACTCGTGGCGACGGAGATGTGGTTCTATAGAAGGGTGTAATGATATCATGGACTGGGCGTGTGAGAAACGGTGAGTTCTTACAGAGGATTCAAACAACGAGGAGGCTTATACTTAACATCTGAAAGAGGCAGCTGAAGTTCGTGGAACACATAATGAGATTGGAGGGCCTGGAGAATCTGATACTCACGGGTCGAATAGCGGCAAAGAGAAACAAAGGAAAACAACACATACCTACCAGCTTTAAGCAAGTGGATGACAGAACGTGATCTGGGGTAGGTGGCAGAGAAAATGAACTTGTTGAGAGCTGTAAGGGATAGAGGATAGTTGTGAGCCATGATAACCTACGTCCTGAAGGGGCACGGCACATAGAAAGAATTTATATATGCCAGACAATGGTACATTATAGTTACTAAGGTTTACTGTGTTAACCTAACGGTTACTGGGTAGGCAGTAACTTTTACGCTTCAAAATATTCTAGTAGCTTTTAAGTAGAAATAATTATAAATCCGAATACGGTTATTTGCAGCTGTGTTTGTAATGTTTTTGACTCAATGTTCATTAATTACTTTATTAATTGATGTCTATGATTATTATTAAATTCACCTGTTTTTATATGTGTAATGACAAAAGTACACAGGTGTAGGCTTTAAGAAAGCTTTATTCAACTGAGAATGCACTATTTGCATATAGTGTCCTTTTATAGTCCCAGTAAACTGAAATAGCTCTCACAAAGAGGAGAGTAACAAAACAAGGGGAGACCACTATTGGTTATTCATAACACAGAGTACTGTAGGTAATCTTTAATGCAAATGGGAGTTGGTGTTGGAGCCAGAGATATCTAGAGCCGAGACTAACGATTCTTCTTTTTTTTATTGCAATTCTTTCTAAGATTGAAGGTGATGTCAAGGC